ACGAGTGAAATAGCAACTAAGGGGCGAGTTGGTTTGTTTTCCCCACGTGAAATGTTTACAAGCTATTTTTCCTTGTGAATACAATTTTCAGTGCGTTTCTATGTAAACATGTGTCGCGCTCAGCACCGAACTCTAATGCTCATTCCCGCTCTTTGCCAACACTCTTCAGCATCTGGTTACCTTGAACTCAGCTGCAAACCCAATTATATTTTGGATTTTCAATGCAAACAGTATGAAGCGAAGCAAGAATTTGTCCAGTGTGTAAGTTTTAACTCTCTCCTATCGTACACTTGTTAATTTATGTTGGTATGGAAACGATATCAACAACAACAACAACAATAACAACAACAACAACAACAACTTTGTTCTCTATGGTGAATGATGACATTTGTGAACTCAGTGACAGCGATTTGGATGGTATTGAGAATGTTTCTTCAGTGCTTTATGAGTGTAGTGGTGTCCGAGCAGAAGGTTATCAGGATAATAATAATCTCATATGTACAGTTATGATTTGTTGTAAATGTTACTGTTATCGCTGCTGCCAAAGCTGCAGACGTTGTTACTTTTGTTGTTGTTTTTGTTTTGCTACTGTATAATATATTTGCTACTGCTGATTCTACTTACTTTCTTACTTGTGAAATATTAAACTGTACTCAATCTGCCTTGAATGGAAAAGAAGATAGACCACTGATTTTTAGATCATGCTTGCCAGTGATGAGTTAACGTGTTATTTTATCGGTAGATTATACCTTCCGAATGAGGTTTTTAGCCGGTTGATCGAATCTGCTTGCACCACCTCCTCAAAGATACGTTTTCTGAGGGACAATATAAGTTTACGACCGAAAACTGACGGTTATTACTCAAAACATTTGAACCATTTGAAGCAGATTTTACGAATGATGCTCGATTTTTTTGGATCAACTCATTCAAACTTGCCCGAGTACCTTGAGAGTATACTCTGATTTATTTTGAATTTAGTTGGTCGGTGATCTACATTTTGTCAACGAAAGCGCTGACACGCAAACTGATGAAATCATAAAGTTATTTACGGTGAGAATGGGATTCTTCCACCATTGATTCTTACTGCATGTGAAAAGGAACGGTTCACTGTCACTTGGTCTATAGCCTCTGGCACTACTTCATTATGCGAAGCATTTATAACCAACTACAGTCCTGTTTAAACCCGGCAATATGTTTCACTTCCTGGGTTTTACGTATGTGATAAGTATTTTAATGTTTTTTTCGTGTACTCCATGTTCAATGTCAGTTGGACAATTGAGATAGAGTCTAATACAGTACTTCTGACGACCTCCGCATTTAGAAACAAAATAATTGTAATAATTAATCTATAAACTAGTCTAGCTCTAAGTATTTTGGGGATGGAAATCTTTCATAGATTGTTTATTGTCATGATCTTTTCACTACAAAGTGACAAACATGATAACCCACCTCAGCCTTGCCTGGTTCAACTGCTAATAAGGAGGGAAGTACATAATTAACCCGACTGTAATAAACTGTTCCTTATCGATCGATAATAATCTCACAAATATTACTGCTCAGAAGTCCATTGTTTTGCACATCAAGTACACGAGACGCAAAGCCGCATCTCCACGGGATGTTATCAAACCATCTTCTTCCGGTCACTTATTTGTGGCATACGATTTGCTTGTGGATAACGGTGTCCCATACCCAGAGCATTGGTTGAGAAAGGTATTTGAAAACTCCCAAAATAGTTTAGCAAAATGTGGTGCGGTATTCAAACTGAAAACCGCCGTTCAGTGTGGGCGCGTTCAGTAGACAAAACGTGGAGTATTCATCACAACTGGATTCGCACCTCAGGTTGTTATTCCCAATTGTGGTTCACCTCAACATATGCATTTAAATAAAACGGTAGATCACAGTTTCCTAAATATCCAAGTAAATAACTGAAAAGCTTACTCAAATGCCCCAGAAAAAGACCAAAGCATCTTTATGGATTTTCTTAGCTCGACCAATCAAATTCGACAGCTAATATGTGCAGCATGCATACGCGTACTAACAATGGTGTTCTACTTCCGAGTTTAGATAAACTTGAAGGCCGGATTTGTGCCTATGCACACGGATGACTTCTATTTGGTGTAACTATATTCAACAATTGACAGGCCAACATTCAATGTTCGTGCATTAAGATAATTACAAACAAGAAGAGATTATACCTAATTGCAACGTATGCGTGTTATACCTTGGCAATTGTACCACACCTTATCCAATTGTTTCTGCTTTCCTTGATTAGAAGAATGTAAACACTAAAGATCCCTAATGATTGCACATTTGCACGCTATCGGAGTACCAACAAGTATGCCTAAAACTGAAGCAAGACACATTTGTCATAAACGAAAATTCTTAAGCAGGTAGGAATGTTCTGTTTCTTGTACATGGACACTGTATCAAGCTTAGGCACAATATAACATAAGCAAATGGGGTTACCGATTTCCCCTAATGATAAACTGTCGTGCTCAATGTCTTTTGTAGAACGCCCAATACTCGAGTACATACGATTCGATGAACCAGTGTGACCAGTGCTGAAAGCGTGACTGGTTAGCTTGGTCGAGGGGATCACAAATTGTTTCAACCGAACCTGATTTTACCGAGAGAACAACGTGAAAAATGGAGTTGAACTGTTCATTGTATTTGGACGCGCGAACACGCATTTTTTCTGTTTGTTTTTCTCGTTTTCTCGTCTATTTTCTCGTATTCCTGCCCCCCCCCCCGCTCCCCGGCGTTGGTGGTCGCGTAGTGAACCTCGGTTGCTGACAGCAACCTGCGTACCAATACATACAGACACACGCACACACCGAATTATACATTGACACGTGCAGAGACAAATAATGCGTGGGGTAATTCAAAGATATGAATTCCCCCCTCCCCGTATGCAAACCATAACTGATGTCTGTACAGAAAGAGTGCGTTAATGCTGTTTTTTGTCAATACATTATGTGCCATGAGGTTTTTCGTTTTGTCGCTTCTAGACACTTGAGTTTCTGCGATAGACAACTGCGAAAGTGCTTTAACTCAACAGTATTAATAAGAAAGAGCCTGAAAAGACTATATTTTTGAGTAAAAAAATCAATTTAAAATGGAATGCTTAAATCTGCTAAATCGATTGCCGTACACTTCTACCGAGTTGGGTCTCAAAAGTCCTCGTTTTTGGTGGTAGAGGGATAAGCCCCCGCTCAATGCATTAGCTAACTTGTTTATGTGAAGAAGAGATTGCTCGAGGACTTTTTCAGCCAGGTGACTCTTTATTGTGTTTTTCTAGTGAACATATTCTATGGAATATGTGTAAAGAGGAACATAATAATATATTCATCCCAGAATTTGCTAAGAAAAAAATATGGATGAATGGAAATCCGCTGTTGTGGAACTTGGGAAGTGGACCTACTCCATCAACATTCGAATACTTGACCAGCAATAATCGAGGGCCTGATAAAGTACCAAAACTGGTCATAGTAACACTATCAACTCACTTGGAATCTATCCTACATAATTCGTAATGCATCGGTACTCTATAAAAGAAGAACTGAATGAATGCATGCATCATTATTTTCAATAGTACACAAACCACTCCAAACGAATGTTTTACAGTGACACACTACTGATGTCACGTCTCAGTTGCAATATCAAACGTGAATAAACAGCTCGCTATTGGGTCAATCACTTAGTTGGATTATCTATATCAGGTTGTGAATATCATGTTCTTTCAAGTTGTTTTCGTCCACATCAATGAATTCAACAGTGGCACTCGAAAATGGCAATCATGACTGTGGGTAACGAGAAACGTTTATTGTTATTTGCCAATGAACTTGGTCCATTTGGTGAAACCCCACAGTCTCAGATTATTATCACCAATTCAGTATTCCAACGTGTATCTGCAGTAGGTGGTCAGTGGCATTATTAGCGCGATGAAATGAAGTCGTCTTTCACAAATGCACCAGTCTCATCTATGCTGGAGGGATAAAAACTTGCCCAGTGGCGAAATACTATCAACAAGCATTACCCGAGCCATCATAATTGAGTTAATCAGCTCTAGTCGACCATAAGGCTATCCTCACCTATAGACGGACGAAAGTTTCCGAAACATGAAGTGAATTGTCCACATTAATGGGCCGTACTTCTCGTATGAGTGAGCTCTGGGACATTTCCATTGATTCCTCTGGAGTAGGGGAAGAAATTGTGCCCGACAATGACGCTGATTCGATTCAAGCCTGCTGATGTCCACTGAAACCCCACTCACACGCGTATTCAGAGACAGAGTTTCTTCTCTGTTAACACGAGGGGTGTTCTTAAAACGAACAGATGTTGTCTCAAAACGGCTTTGTGCAGCAGGTATTGGATACTCGTCTGTGCCCATATACACAAACACATACTTAACATCTGTCTCAACACCGCCCGATGTATGGAAAGAAAACAACCTGTTTGAAACTAATTTGTGAATAATGCCACGCACCTTGCTTGTCATGGTATTATCCT